GTTGATTTTCTCGCCTCCGTCAGCCCGGAAACGCTGTCGGATCATGCCTTCTCTCGCCATCTCAAGCGCTTTAATGTTGGCGAGGACTGCCCTGTTTTTGATGGCTTATTCGGCTTCTGCCAGGCCTCTGCTGGCGGCTCCATTGGTGCTGCCGTCAAGCTCAATCGCGGCGATGCTGATATTGCTATCAATTGGGCCGGTGGGCTTCATCATGCTAAGAAGTCTGAGGCCTCCGGTTTTTGTTACGTCAATGATATTGTGTTGGGCATTCTTGAGCTGCTGAAGTACCACAGGGTAATCATCTTAAGAAGAGTATTTGTGTTATCTGCTATAGTTTTGACCAACTGCGCTGCATACTCTGTTCATTTAGTATATATTTTTCCTTTTTTGGTCCTTGAAGTTTGCGTAGGACTGGTTAATTTCTGCTTGAAGTAGAGGTTTTCTTCCTTGTTCTACATGAAAAATGAAAATTTTGCGTTTGCTGGATTACACATTCATCATATCCTATTCTTTGACAATTTTTGTACTGTTATTTTGTGTTTTACTTCTAATTCTTTTGGGTTTTCGGGCTTGTGGGGTTGCCAAGAGCACAAGGTTTGGGAACATTTCTCATCAGTTTTTAGACCAATGCATTCGATCGTTCTGTTAAAGCTTTAGCTATACTCCACTTTCTAAGCTGCTCAATATCATTGTGCAGCGTGTATTATATATTGACATTGATGTCCATCATGGTGATGGTGTGGAGGAGGCGTTTTACACTACCGACAGGGTAATGTCGGTCTCCTTCCATAAATTTGGGGATTTCTTTCCAGGGACTGGACACATTAAGCATGTTGGGGCAGGGTCTGGTAAAAACTATGCTCTTAATGTCCCTTTGAATGATGGAATGGATGATGACAGTTTTCGTGGTCTGTTTAGGCCAATCATTCAAAAAGTCATGGAGGTGTATCAGCCAGAGGCAGTAGTACTCCAATGTGGTGCTGATTCATTAGCTGGTGATAGGTTGGGGTGCTTCAACTTATCTGTGAAGGGCCATGCAGATTGTCTTCGTTTCTTGAGATCATTTAACGTTCCTTTAATGGTATTAGGTGGTGGAGGATATACAATCCGCAACGTTGCTCGCTGCTGGTGTTACGAGGTCTCTTTCTCTTCGTTCTTGTCTGTATATTTATTTCTACCTCTGTAGAATTAGGAACCATCCTTACAAGTTTCGTTTGTGGAGGTTTCTCTCAACAGACAGCGGTTGCTGTTGGAGTTGAACCAGACAACAAATTGCCTTACAACGAGTATTTCGAGTATTTTGGACCTGATTACACGCTTCACATCGAACCATCCAACATGGAGAATCTAAATTCACCTAAAGATATGGAAAAAATAAGGTGACTTGTGATTGAGTGTTGTTCAGTTCATGGTATACTTGGTCTGCTTCTTTCAATTCAACACTGTAAGCTTAATTTCTTTTGTTGTCGATAATCTTAGTATAAACACTCCTTTCCAAAAAATACCCAATAATCATATCAGAAATGTTCTAAATGCTTCTGTAGTCTGAAATTTAACTTTCTTAGTTGTAGTCATTAGTTAACATTGGAATTGCTCCATTATGTTCGTTAAATGCTAAATACGTGTCGGGTTTTAAGAACTTCTATGCTTTTATGCTGTCTGAATGAAAAATTTTATATAATCAAGTTGCCTCCTCCATTTCTCCTTCTAGGAACACCCTGCTGGAGCAACTCTCTAGACTCCCACATGCTCCCAGTGTACCTTTCCAGATGACTCCCTCGTCCGAAGTCCCCGAAGAGGTTACAGAAAACCCGTTACTATTATTATAGACCCTGCACATTACTTCATAATTTCTGTTTTTATGTAGCGTTTTCTCCTCTTGAGATCATGTTGGTTCTTTGGTGGTAAGGTGGAAGAGAACATTGACCGTAGACCGAAACGCCGCATTTGGAACGGTGAGGATTATGATTCTGCACCTGAAGAAAACAGAAAGCGACCAAACATGAGTGAAGGGCATGGTGTAAATAATCTGACGAGGTTAAGCCATAAGCTATATTTTCTTTCTTATACTTTTTTCTTGACAAGGATATATCTTGAGCTAATCATTGAGGCATTCCAATTTCTGCAGAGAGCTTAGGTTTAATAACTGAACATTCGATATATATGATGCAGGGACGTCGTAGATGGTATGGAGGAAGATAAAAACATGAACCATCGAACTTGCTGACACAAAAACTTGTGTGTTGAGTTCTCGACGACCTTTAAGTCTTTAACCAATTTCGATAAAGACACCTAGGATCAAGTCTGATTTTCACTTTTGATTCGATATTGGAGCATACGAATTAATCTTCTGTTTTCAAGGGTTTTCTGTTTTCAACATGAAAGTTGCAATTTGTACACAAGACATACACTGTAAACAGAAATCAATGGCGTTTACATCTGAGACTTTCGTACCAATATTTTGAGTTGATTTGAACCTTATGATCTTCTCTGGTATGTGTGAAATTCATTGTTCAGAATTGAAATTACTCATTACGATGCTTCTTCTATATTCTTACATCCGTGGTATGTAGTTGAACTAGTCATAGTTCAACGGGATAAAAGTATATATTCTGGATTGAAAGGCTAGAGGTTGAAGCAACTCTTGCTTATAAGAAAATAGTAGTGATAAAAATAGCTTATTTTATACAAATATGAAAATTTTGATGCCATTAAGTAGTAAGAATCCCGTTGATTTTTCCCATTTCTTTCCATGTTTTTCAAGGAAACCCTGATCGAGAAAAGTAGGAGCTCAGGATACTCGTGATTCTATCCTCAATTTGCATCTCGCTCGCCAAAAATCCTTTTTCACAGAGGAGAAGTTTTGAATCGCGAAACCCACTTATGTCCTTCTATCTCCATATCCTTGCGTCGGAGCTTTCCAAGACTTATCTAACTCTTTTACGAACAAAGGAACTGCATGCTTTTATTACCAAAACACATCTTGCTTGCGACCCATTTTACGCAACTAGAATTGTCAGGCTTTACTCTATCAATAGCCGACTCAACTATGCCCGCCATGTGTTCGACAAAACTCCCAACCGAAGTGTCTACCTCTGGAACTCAATCATTCGAGCTTACGCGAAAGCCCATAAATTCGGTAATGCATTATCTCTGTTCTTTACAATGTTTGGAACTGAGACTCTGCCCGATAACTTCACTTATTCATGCATCATAAGGGTATGCGCTGAAAATTTCCATAGAGAACGGCTGAAACTTGTTCATGGACGTGTTTTAGCATCTGGGTTTGGATTAGATCCTATCTGTTGCAGCGCGCTAGTCACTGCATACTCAAATCTAGACCTTATTGAAGATGCAAGCAAGGTGTTTGATGTAATGCCTCATCCAGACTTGGTTATGTGGAATTCGATCATTTCTGGTTTTGGGTATTGCGGGTTTTGGAATCAAGGGCTCTTGCTATTCTCTAGGATGAGGAATTTGGGAGGACATCCGGATGGATACACGGTAGTTGGTGTAGCATCAGGTATAGCAGAACCAAGCTTACTGAGTACTGGTAAAGGTATTCATGGATTTTGCCTCAAGTGTAGTCTTGACTCCAATGAGCACGTAGCTAGTGCACTTGTGAGCATGTATTCGAGGTGTAATTGCATGTATTCAGCATATTTAGTTTTTATTAGTTTGATACAGCCTGATTTAGTTACATGGTCTGCTTTAATAACTGGGTATTCTCAATCTGGTGATTTCTGGAAGGCACTGTTTTTCTTTCAGAAACTGAATATGCAGGGCATGAAACCGGATGCCATTTTGATTGCCAGCATTTTGGCCGCTGCTGCTCAATCAGCCAACATAAGGCCTGGCATTGAGATACATGGCTATGCTCTTCGACAAGGGATAGATTCAAACGAAATGGTATCCTCTTCTCTCATAGACATGTACTCCAAGTGTGGTTATTTGAGTTTGGGAATTCGTGTTTTTCATATTATGCAACGAAAAGGTATTGTGGCATACAATTCTATAATATGGGGAATGGGTCTGCATGGGCTTGCATCTAAGGCATTGGAATCGTTTGAGGAGTTGTTGGATATTGGTCTAATGCCTAATGAGTCTACTTTCTCTGCTCTCCTCTGTGCTTGCTGTCATGCTGGGCTTAGCTCTGTTGGTAAGGCGATTTTCAGAAGGATGAGAAATGAGTTTGGCATCAAATACAGAACAGAGCATTATGTTTACATTGTAAAGCTTCTTGGAATGAGTGGGGAGTTAGAAGAGGCTTATAATCTTGTCCTGTCCTTGCCAGAACCTGTAGACTCTGGTGTATGGGGGGCTCTGCTGTCCTGCTGTGATGCTTGTGGGAACCTTGAACTGGCTGAAATTGTTGCACAGAAGCTCTTAGAAAATAATCCCCACAAAATGGCTTATAGAGTAATGCTCTCTAATATCTATGCTGGAGAAGGGCGATGGGATGATGTGAAGAAGCTAAGGGATACAATGACTGAAAAGGAACGAGGAAAATTGCCCGGGCTTAGCTGGATTTGAGAGTTTTATGTTTGTGATTAACCGTGCAAGGGTTGGTGTAATATGTGGATTGTGAGATCTCATATCGGTTGGATATAGAAACAAAGCATTCTTTACAAGGGTGTGAAAATCTCTCTCTACCAGACGCGTTTTAAAATCATGAGGCTGACAGTGATACAAAGTGGATAATATCTGCTAGCGGTGGGCTTGGGCTGTTACAAATGGTATTAGAGCTAGACATTGGGCGGTGTGCCAAATGGGGTGGGTTGTGAGATCCCACATCAGTTGAAGAGGGGAACAAAACATTCCTTATAAAGGTGTGGAAACCTCTTCTTAGCAGACGAGTTTTAAAACCATAAGGCTGACAGTGATATGTAACGAACCAAAGCGGACAATATCTGCTAGTAGTGGACTTAAACTGTTACAGTTGACTAGGTAAGTCGCTTGGTCATCATGAATCATTACATTCAACTTGAATATTTATAGCGTTCTTTTGACTTTGAAATGTATCTGACAACAGCTTTACCCACACTACAACCACAAGGATCTATGTTCAGTTTCTCTAGCTTACACTAAATAGCGAGTCTTATTGATTGAGTGTTAGAAATTTGGTGTGTTCTTTTTTATATATATTTAAAGATGAATAAAACACTATTCTCTTGTTGGTTGACAGATTACAGAGAAGACCTAAAGAAATTGGCTGGCTTTCCAAGCTGCTGATTCTGTTGCATTTGGCTTCACGACATAGCACCCATTGTTTGAACTGCAAGAACTTAATCTTCCTGTTATGGTGCCATCGGAACCAGGATAGTCCATGGATAATCTTCTCTCTTTTTCATGCCTCTTGGCTCTTTTTCTTAGACTCTGTCGCTTCATTATGGAGGTCAACATAGCTTTGCCACTTTTAGCATCCACTGGCATCGGCATTGCCTCAAGACCCATCAACTTAGCTACCACTCCTGGTTTGCGCCACAGGACATTCTCTCCAGCTATCGTTGATGGCAACCGTAAGGCTGTCTCCAATGTCAAATTGAACTCGTTTTCATGAACTCTCCCTTTGAGAGCATATTCACAGCAAACTGACTTCCGCCCAAACCTTTCTGCACCATCCAAGTTCCTAAATGAAGATCTATACGTTGCATCCTTTCCATCCAGGGAAAACCGAGGATACTGATTCAAAGCATTCCGTGTCGATCGCAAGATATCCGAGTTGTTTACACACGACATCCTGTGACCTCGAATCTTGTCGTAGTTGTAACGTTTTGCCCTTCTTGCTGTCTCCTCCTCTAGTTCCAACTGTAAGATCATCTCCTCCAAGGTTGGCGGGGTTTGTCCGCAATGCAGGTCGGGCGAGACGGGGCATTGATCCTGGTTGGTTTTGTGTTGGTTGAGAGTGGTGGTAGAAGCGTTGCCATTGCAGAAAGTTCTGATGCCTTTCCTTATCTTTGCAGCCAGAGAGTTCTTGAAGAGAAAGAAGGAGAGCTCCTTCATTTTGAATGCATGAAGAAGGCGGTGCAGGATCAAAACTTGGAGGTAGGCTCTGATTCTTCAATTACTTTTGCCATTTTTCTTTGTTTTGAAGATGAATTCTGAACAGAACTTAGTATAAACTGTGAATTGAATGAATGAATGAATGAATGAGAGCGGTGTGGTCTCTTGTTCATAGGGTTAATTAATATTAATTGTATTCATCACATGCCATTTTGATTGAAGAGGCTCTCTCTTTCACAAGGAAGCTCATGCATCATTCAAAACCCTCTTCACTTTAATTTTGATGTACTTTTATCAGTCCTTGCAAATAGTATTACCCATTACAAATTTCCCATGAAAAAGTTACCTCAAATGGAATAAGAATCAGAATCTGTCTGGTGGGCCCTCATTGGGTCTACTCTCATACAACTTTGGGCTTATTTGCCTAGTATAGGCTCTCTTTTTTAAACTAGGTTAAGCCCAATGTCGGCTTGTATGAATAAAAAATATTTCTTTCTACCCTTTTTATTTATTTATTTATTTTTCAAATTCGCTTAATAATATATAATTCATGTATGGTTTATTGAGGTATTTATTTAACTATAAACAAATAAATGCCAAAATATTATTTTTTAATAAAAGAAAATATGAATAATTTAAGAGGGAAGCTTCTGTATGCACATGCACTTACTCTCCTTGAAAACACCAACTATTCAATGGGATCCACTTATCACTACGGAGTCATACAGCAATATTGCACAACAAATAGCTCTTTTTTCTTTATTTATTTATTTATTTATTTTATTTTTTATATATCGAAATATTTAACTTTAAATTGATTTTATTCGCATTTCTTATTAACCCATTTTAAAATTTTAAAAATATTTCTAAATAATTTTGAATTTTTTTAGTGGTTGCCGTTGAAATTTGAATCTTTGATGTTAATGTTAATATTATTATTATTTTCTTCATATTATTTTGGAGTAATAGCTCCTATAAGACTAACCTTCCCAAAATGTTATATGGTTTAATTTTATTTTTCTATTGATGAGATATTATGGATTCTTTTAGAAAAGAGAAGTCAAGGTGGTCCCTCATGGACTACGATTCACATCGACTACAACTTAAATCATGTGAGTGAATAGAAAGTTAGGGTTCATGTTGAATTTTTCTTTGAATTACAGTTCATTCTCTAAAGATGAAATTCGTCCTTAAACCTCAAATCAAGACAGGGAAAAATATGTCAATTGCGAACATGCTTCAAATGATTCGCATTTCTAGGTCAAAATTCTGATGAGTACATTGAACTATGTAAGTGGCCAAGAGTCCTCACAATTAAGCACATGACATAACACAATTATAGAGGGTGCATAATACCACTGAACTACATAGTAGTCCAGAGACCCACTTTGCCAAAACCGAAAGAAGCTACATCCTGCCCTATTGATCATGAGTCAACAATAATGAACGATATATAGTTTGTATTATAATGATAGAAGACCATATGTACGTATTTTATGTTTGGAAAGGGACAGAAAGAAGAAGAATTGGAAGTCATCCAAAGAAAGGGACTAATAAACTCAACCACACACTCACACACACGTATAGTTTTAAATTCAAACTTGAAAAACTTCAGAAAGAAAGAAACCCCACACTACCTCTCTGCCACTCTCACTCATCAGAACTACAAGCCCACCTCCCCCTACTAACACTTTTCCTGTGTAGCCACTGCCCCCCCTTCCCCTATTGCGTTCTACCATACCATATCATACCATACATCCTTTTACTATCTTTTACATCGTATCATAAAAGGACTTATTATGTTCCTAAACTTTCATAAAACTGACTATTTAGGCTTTGTTTGATAATCGAACACTATCTCCATTATTGGGTTTCTTTATTTTTTAAACTTGAATCTAAATGTGTTACTATAAAAAAGACGAAAATCATTATAAAGAAGATGTGAGAAAGTATACATAATTTTTAGGATAGAGACTAACAAGTACGTGATCTTTGTAACAAAATTTAAGGACTAAATTATATGATTACTTTAATGAAAATTCGGAAACTAAGCTAAAGTGTGTTTTAAATCTCAATGAGTGAAGTTTAACTTCAAAACCCTAAACATAAATATGGAATAGACAGTAATATTGATTTTACTGCAACTTCACAGTATCAAGAATGTAAAAAGGTAAAAGAAAAAGATCTCTAGGTCAACAAGAAGAATCAAAGTTACCCACAAAAAAAATTTCTTCCAACCACTAAAGAAATAAATAAAAACTTAATTGGGACAGCCTCAGAATTTTCACTCGATCACTCGGTTAAATGCAAGTTTAAAAGACGATTCTTTGTTTCTCGTGTTTTTTTTTTTTTTTTTTTTCTTTTAAGAAGTACGATCAATTTAATTCAAATTATAATTTCATGATTTAATAGGAAAAGCGTAAGAATCTTTAAGAATATTTGTTTAAAATATCAATAAAGGAAAGGGCACCCCGTGGAATTTTCTAATACAACACATTATTATAGTAAAATTAAAGAATAATAAAATAATACATCCTATTATATATATTATATTATTAGTGGATATATAGGGTTTGTTCCAATTATGTCTTTTTATATGCTCTATTTATATCCATTTATTAATGTCCAAATCATGTCTATATTAATACAATAATATTCTTTTTTATCTAGCTAGATAAGTTTTTTTGTTTATTTATTGAATTATAAGTTTAAATTTGATAATGTGACATTGATATTTGTATTTTTGTGGAATATGGTGAGCAATTGGGTAAAAGGCGTGATAGCAGCATCGCCGGGAGACCCCTCCCCTAGACTACGCACATCGCCCTAAAAGCCTACCCCTAAGCTAAATAAATAAATAGATAAATGTGTATACTATAATTAAATACCGAAAATTATCAATCAATTGAAAGAGAACAAGAAGTACTAACCCATCAACTTGATTTTACATCCTCGAATCTGTTCTCTTCGTCACCAAATATCATGTTCTTCATTCCCTTAACAACACCAAAATGGTGGGCTCTAACCCCATTAAATGTCACATTTATAACTAAATGCTAATCTTCAAGATATGAGAAATTTGTTTATGATCGAAACGAAATAAATTCTTAATTTTCTTGGTTCAACCACATGATCGACAAGCATCTCTATGTTTAACTTGTTTTACCAGAAAATTGTAATTTACTAATCAAACTAAACATAATTACGTGAATAAAACATCAATTAAACAATAATCACATAAAGGGAAGGGAAGAATTCAATCAGTAGTTATAGAATTCAATGATGAACTAAATAATAGGATGTCATCATACGCACATGAACACACAAAGGGAAAAATGATATTATAATTGAAAAAAATCACCATTTACTTACCAGTATAATCAAGTGAGGCTCTGTTATTTTCATCGCTGGTTTAAATTTCACCCAAAAGAAGATCATTGGGAGTTAAAAGGTAAAACATAAATTGATGCGCAATAATAGCAACCATTTTTTTAGTATGATGCGATATGATTGAATTTGAAACAAGTTACAGAGAGAGAGAAAGAGAGAGAGAGAGAGAAAGCAAAAGAAAAAGAAAGAGATATGTGGTTTATTTTGCAAGTTGCAGTGCATGGCCTCGGTCAGTACAATCGTGATAAAATCCTGCTATCAGTTTTCATTCTTTCTTTCTTTCTTTCTTTTTGGTGGTGAATCTATCATGAACCTACACGTCTATATACTCAAAACACTTGATCAAATTTCAATCTTTCATCTAAATTCTAAGTTCAAATCTATTCATTCTCACTACTTAAATAACGAGTATACTTGTGTAATGACAAGAGTATAATCTTAATAGCATTATACTCGTTACTTAAGCAATGAATGAATGGGTATTGAAAAGGGTATTATAATATTAATGGAGGTATTCAATTGAAAAAAAAATGATAAGATATATGAAAATGATAGGTATGAGGTGTGTAATGGGGAGTGCATGAAAAAAATTAGAAGGGAATAAAAAAGGGAGACAATCCCACATCCATGATAATATTATTGGATGCAGGGTCATAGTCATTCTTTTGTTAGTGTACCCACCATTTATTATCCTTGTCTTTTGCCTCCATTCCCTTCTCTCTGCTTCTTCCCATCCACTAAATATACTATTTTCCCCATCTTTCCCTCCACTCAATACCCTCAATTTTTGTCACTCATTTCACTTCTCTCTCTCTCTCTCTCCATCTTTTCTCTCTTCTTCTTCTTTTTCTTCTTCTTCCAGTTAGGGTTTTGCTTCAGCTTGTTCAGCAGAGCTTTGCAGAATTCAGTGACTAAATCACCCTCACAAGTTAGTTTATCAAAGGGAAAGGAAGAAGGGTTTTAAAGCTTTCTCGCTGGAAAGGTAAAAGGGAGTTGGTTTTTTGGTGGTGGTTGTTTTATTTATACTTTTTTTTTTTCTTTTGAATTGATTCCAAAGAAAAGGCAAAGACCTAGATCACATAAGAGAGGTAAGTTTATGTAGCTCTCTTTGTTTTGTATGAGTAAAAGAAATGCTAGAAAAATAATAAAAGTCGTGTTTTGGTTTGTTTGTTTGTTCTTATAAATTTAGTTTTTTTTTTTTTTTTTTTTTTTCTCTATCCATAGGTAAGAAAAAGGCTAAAAAAGAGATGAATTAATCTAGACCCTTTGACGCGTATGGGGCTAGGTAGAGCTTAATTTAGGGCTCTCTCTTACCCTTTACTTTGTTTCACCACTGTCATGTCTCACCTTCTTCACCTGAATTGCAGAATTTTGAAGCCTGTCTTTGTAGCTGCGTTGCACGCAACCTACTTTCTTCTCAATTTACACTGAAAAAGAAAAAAAAAACAGAAACAAAGAGAAAGTATATGCAACAAGCTTCAAAAGAATCCAGAGAGAAGGTGAATTTAGTTAAGAAAAGGATTGATTGTATAACGAAAATTGAGAAGCCTAAATGAAGGGACCTAACCGTTCGGTTAAAGGGTCGGAATTCGAACATATACGTTAATCCGAGCATAGTTTAGTCTAAAGTTCGTTGGTTCGATCCTCACCCTGCAATTGTTGAACTAAAAAAAAAAAAAAGATGAAATTAGGAAAAATGGAGACAAATATTTTAATACATATCTGCAATTTAGGCAGCTGTAGCAGAAAATGTTTCTGCAAATTTGATTAGGGTGTTGTACGTGTGTCTGTCCACGGGAGAGATTTTTCTGAGTACGCACGCGCGTGAAAGAAAGAGAGAAACAGAAGGTTAGGATCTTGATTTTCTGCACATGAATTAAACTTGGGATCAGTTACAAAATTCTAAATAACTTTCTTCTTCTGAATTTCATCTGACTTGTTCTAGAAATTCCTTTTCTTTCACTGATCTCAAGACTTGCATACACAATATATTTATAAAATGACCAAAAATAAATAAACCAAAAGGTTTATTAATGAACATAAAATTGAAACATTATGGAGTGTTAATTGTTGGTTTAGTTTCTTAATTGTAAATATATGCTTGTGTTGTTAAGAGGAATTTAAACTTTAAGGTAAGAGAAGGGGGGAAAAGTTGATTAGAGCATGGATTAGTTAGAAATTGATCATTTTCTTACTTTGATTGGTGAAGGCAGGATGGCATCATCAAGTTCTTACAACTCTCCTTGTGCTGCTTGCAAGTTCTTGAGAAGAAAATGCATGTCAGGTTGCATTTTTGCTCCTTATTTCCCACCAGAAGAGCCTCAAAAGTTTGCCAATGTGCACAAGATCTTTGGGGCCAGCAATGTGACAAAGCTGCTGAATGAACTTCTGCCTCACCAAAGAGAGGATGCAGTGAACTCTCTTGCGTATGAGGCCGAGGCCCGAGTCCGGGACCCGGTCTACGGCTGCGTCGGAGCCATCTCCTTCCTCCAAAGGCAAGTCCAGAGGCTCCAGAAGGAACTTGACGCTGCGAATGCCGACCTAATTCGGTACGCATGCAACGAGATACCTAATGCAGGAGTGAGTCATGTGGTTCAACCAAGCCCTGGTGCTCGCCCAAGAGCTTTGGATCAGTATCATACAAGTTCATCAACTGGGTATTACAGTCAACATCTTCCTGCTTTTCCCATGGCTTATCCACTGCCTTGGAATGAAAACTCTCCTGGAAATGACATCAATGAAGGAGGAGGGGATGGCAATATTTGAAGAAATCTTCTCCAAAAAAAATCCACAAAATAGGGTTTTTTCAACCCTAAAGAGAACTTCTCTCTTCTGGTATGTCACTTCCTCATATATTATATATATATGTGATGGTTTTTCTAGCTAGCTGCCCTCATTCACATGGACATTTTTCAAGCTGGATGACTTAGTAAATTTAATTTTTCTAGTATCATTTAGAGGGTCTTGAGAATTAGTTTCTTAAACCCCATTATCATTCTCCCATTTAAAATCCAAAACAAGTTCTCTGAGTTATGTTTTTTTTTTTTTTGTTCTTCGTTTAATCATCATATGTACGTGTGGAAGATTAATTTAGGGCCTAAAATAAGGTTTCTGTGCATGCTCCCTAGCAGCTTAGCCACATTTTTACTTTAAATATTATAGACTATTGTCTATTGTGTGAGGTTCAATTTCTAGAGAGCTCTTTAGCTTCATTTTTTTTTTTTTTTTTTTTTTTTTTTTTTTTTTTTTTTTTTTTTTTTTTTTTTTTTTTTTTTTTGTATCAAAAATTTAGCACTGCCATTGTTTATGCTTATGAATAAATGAAAAATAATATTTTATCTCATGTTTGTTGTGTCTTCGTAAAGGCAGATTCCCTTAGTTCTGTATATTATATAGTTTTTTTATACATGCGTCTATGTCTAGCTTTCTCCTCCTTTTAACCCTATGCAATATTCTCTCACTTTTCTTCCTACTTTCTTTTTTAGAGGACCATCTACGTAAGCTTTCTTTTAATATCTTTTTACTACAATTTTAGCTAAATGGTAACTTAATTTTGAGCTATTCATTTGATTGAGAAAAAGACCCATAAAGAGAAATGCTGAGCCTTTTAATTCGGTATTTGTTTATTCTATGCTATATCTACTTTGTTTGTTCTTTTATTTGGCTATGCCAAAGTTCCTTTCTAACCTATAATATGTATAAACTGGAAGAGGGTTGTGGAAAAGTTCATTGGCTTGTGATGGTCTTGAAAGGTAGGATTTGAAAGGGCCATTTTGAACAAATGCAAGCTTTCTTGATGGCTTTTGGAAGGATCAGAAGAGGAAAGGGAAAAGGAAAAAAGAAAAAAAAAAAAAAAAAAGAAGCATTATTTAGAGAATAATGAGTCTGAAGAAACTATGAACCAACAGTGTTCCTCAACTCATTTTCAAATTCTAGTCTTTATCTTTTTAGTGTTACAGTGCTAATGTGAATCTCTTGGAGTTTCCTTTTCATATTTTCACCCCAAAAAATAAAAATATTTAGTTCTTTCTTTCATGGCCTAAATATCTCAAACAGTGTCTAAAAGTTTGGTTGGCCTCATTGGATTTCTTCAGTATAAAGTGGTGGCTGTTTCTCTTCCCATGTATGGGGTTTCAGTTTTCTTTTTATGTTTCAGTTTGTTCACTTACCTTTTCACTGTTTTCATCTCCACATCACAAGTTCCAGACTTTACAGTAAAAAACCCTACACAGTCATATTCACAGTAAAAGTTTCTCTTCCTTCTGTACTTTTGTGTTTTTATGCTTCATTATTATCTTTTTATTTTTTGGGCACATCAGAGCTTTGCTTTTTGTTTTTATTATATTAATGAAAGTTACCCTTTAGGGGAAATCAAAGTTTTATGATGAGGAGTCTGCAAAATTATCTGCATGGATTAAGCATTTTAATTAACATAAATACTTTAGATCCATTTCTCCATCTCCTACACTTCATCTATAACCAAGTCTAAAGGTTATACTACGAATTCTGTCCTTTTTGACATCATTTAATTTGGTCCCTATCATATCTGTCATTTTTCTTATTTACTATGGTAGTTGACTGAATTAGGGTTTAGGTTGGAGTAAAAAAAGAAGTGAGTTTTTGAATGGTGAAAATGGCTTAAGATGATGTGCATGGTTCAACCATAAACCAAGTCCAAACTATGAAACTTAAAATCAAAGCTCTCAAAACCATAAGAAAAACAAATTTCATAGTTAATTCAAACTTAAAACAAGCATTTCTCATTTCTAAAAAAGCAAAGTTTAACTAAGCTAGAAATACTAAATTAAAACTTTTAGAATAACTATAAGAACCAAATTCATGAAGTAGATAAAGCAGATAAAGCAGATCAAGCATTTTTTGTTCTCAAGAACAGAGAAAGGCTAAAAGAACCAGAAGAATCAAGAGCCACAGAGAAGGGGGGGAAATCTAGGGTTAGGGTTTGAGATATTTTAAAAAAGAGAAAACATCAAAATAAGTTGTCTTCTTGTCATTGAACAAGATGATGTACTAAGAAATGAAGCAACTCACGAGCCATTAAAAGATGTTAGAGAGAGGGAAGTTTTAATTTTTTTCCTTTTTTTTTTTAATTTAAAAAAAGAGCTTATATTTCTGGGTGGACTGTGTAAATAGATTTCTCTCTCACTCTCCTATGAGAACTAATTGCAGTTTGCATATGTTGGGAGTACAGAACATTCATCATCACAACAAACAACAGACTGAAACAGCCTCTCTTTTTCTCTACATTGCAATACCCTCTCTATACTTCTGTTTCTCTTCACTTTTTGGCAGTCTCTCTCTCTCTGCCTCTCTCCCTCTCTCTGTCCCTCTCTCCCTCTCCAAAGTCCCAGCAACCCCTAAATTTTCACACAGAAAAAAAAGAAAAAAAGAAACCAATACTAAAAGTTAAAGTCTTTTGTACTCTTTTCCTCTTACCCACGCACGCACACAAGGACACTGATCTCTCCCTGAATCGTATCTGGATATGGGTCGGGCCACGTCCTTTGGCCTCCAATTTATCGCCTCCTCCCTCTCTCGATATCCCCAATTATTCCTTCCTATTCAATCATCTCATGAAATACCGCTCGAGTAGTATGAATGTCACTCTCATTTAATGTCCTTCGTATTTTTTAGAAGAAAAATAGAGTTCACTAAGGAATGAAATACAGGATTTGAAACTTCTGATCACTTTACAAGAAAGCTCCTATATTAGAAGTCAAATGAAGAAAGACTATCATAAAAAAAAAAAGGAAAAAAGGATATTGAAATTCAAACCCATACATATCATAAAAACAAATCAAAGTTACCAAAAGTTGAGAAGGAGTCCCTCAAGAGGGAACATTTCTTTTGCATCAAAGAAACCAAGAAAAAATCTGTCAGCATATATATTTCCAACAGACTCCAACCCCTCATCAACAGATACCAGAAGAGTACTAAAAAATTTATTTCTCCTCAATCATATAAGGTTTGTCTTCCCAATTCTCTCTCCTATTAACAATCTTTTTTATTAAAAAACTATTATTATTTCTATTATTAATTTAATTTTGGGGGGCTTCGCTTTTAAAGTCTGAAAGGGTTCACTGTTTTGGTTCAGAAGTTTGGTCAGATAAGAGAAGAGGGGTAGAGGGGTTTCTGTGGTTGGTTTCAGTGAATACCTTTTATTCTTTCTTTCTTTTTCTTTGTGTGTGTGTGTGTGTGTGTGTGTGTGTGTGTGTGCGTGTGTGTGTGTGTGTGTGTGTGTTTGTGTGTGTGTGTGAGTGAAACTGTAGTAATTTCAGAATCCATCATCATAACCCATCAATCTTAATCTTCTACTCTGCAGAGAGGGATGGAGAGACGTGGTAAAGAAGCAAAGAGCAGCTGAAATTTTGGCAGAACCTCATAAGGCTTTCATCATATAAGGACAAATATCATAGACAACAAGCCTTCTATTTTTGCCCCCACCATATAATTCTTCATTTTCTTTCTTCACCATTTAACGTAAATAATTGAATGCCTAGTTTACTAATTTCAACAATATCTTGAATTTGAAACCTGCTAATTTTACCTTATTCTAAACAAATTTCGATAAAATCAAGATAAGCCTATATTCACATAGTTCTTTCACTCATTGTAACTTAAAATTAACATAAAGCTTATCTTTATTAAATGGCCTCTTCATCTCTCTGATATCATATATTTTGATTTACTAGACAAAAAAATTTAAAAGTTTCGTGTTTATCCCATTGATTTTCATAGATAGTGTGTGAGTAGGGCTATATCTACCAGTAATATAATTTAATTAGACATTATTATAACTTTATCAAGTAGCTAGAATTGAAGTATTTCTTTACCTCTTCAAGCACTCAGAGAGTGAGCCTTTCATCTACAATCTCTTTGCATTGCTCTCACAACCCTTCATTTCAATCATATTCTCGTCCCAAATTCACCAAATCCTACATGTTCTGGACTGCATTAATTGTGACAAAGTCTAATGTGCGTGAGAATACACTTCTAAAAACCAAGAATTTATGCATATACTCTAAGAATCAAATTCATTAAATGATTACTTTGACTTATTGGGCATGATGGGAGAATATTTTTCGTTTTTTTTTTCTTAAACGTCTTCCTACCCCAAATTAGGAAACGTGAAAACAATCATATTATCGAAGAATATCTTTGATAAGTACCAATCCAACTTTTTAACAAAAAAGAAAGAAAAAAGGCCTATCATCTATTTATATATATATTCATTATAATATGTGGAAAAAAGAATCAAATTATAACAAAAATAAGGGGCTTTAATTAACAATTACTAGTAAAGTTCCCTTACAATTTATTCTCACTTTTATAGAGTACAGGCTCCTACTGTTAGGACTTTGAAACTTTGCACATGTTCTAGCCTGTAGCCTTAAAAGGAAGGATTAGTCTTATCATTTATATATGTGGCTATGCTTTAAAATTATTTAACTTTTTTCTTACATACATTAACAATATCTGAACCAATAATGTTTGAATTTAGCCCCAAAAGTATGTTTTTTTAAATTTGATGAAAGCTTGAGTTTGTTTTATTTATGTTCGTAATCTTTGCATGTAATATTTAATTAAGAATATAAGTATCTAACTTTGTGGTAGATGGGTTGAAGGAAGAGTATATGATTCAAAGGAGAGCCCAACCACACTCTAACTTTTGCAATTGCAATTATGTAAAGCTTGGAAGTAATTTAAAAAAGTTGGGGAATATTATTAATTAACACTAGGGCATTGTTTGGGATTAGGGTTTACTTTTCAACCATTCTTTAGAAATAATTGGCTTAAGTTTGTAAAGTGTTTTTCTCACAAGCATATGCATCTACATGACTCTTAATTTCATATGATATTAACACATCAATTTAAGAAAATCATACTTGCAAACCCTTTCTACCCATAGCTCTTTTGTTTTATTACTAACTTCTTAAAAATGGTTTCCGAAACAAAATCAAAATTTGAAAACTAAGAAAAAAATATTTTTTAAATCTTAATTTTTATGAAATTTAGTTTAGAATTCATGTGCTTAAAGTAGGTGAAGAACTCACTCACCCATTGAGGAAGCCATCATAATTTTTGAAAACCAAAAATTAAAAAAAAAAACAAAATAGTTATTAAATATGACAGCATTATCAATTCCCTTTTTTTTTTTTAAACATAAAATTAGCAATTGAATGAAAAATTAAGTTGGATAGATGATTTACAAAAATTGGTGGTGGCTGAAAAAGAGTGACAAAAAAGGGAAGCCGAAACAAGGGTGATTTTGGCAATAACTCCACTCTTGTATATGGACCATGAAAAAATAATGTTGAGCCCAAAAAAGTAACATTTTGGGCTAACTACTAGGCCCATTGACTCTTCTCCCATTAAGGGGCGGATCCAAAATGCCGAAGAATTTCAAGTGAAATGGAAATTGAAAAGGTTTCTAGAAGAATAATTTTGTAAAACACACGGGTTGTTGTTTTGTTTTGGCATCAAACTAAATAACTCAGATTGTTTTTCCCGCTAAATAGATAGTTTTGATAGCAAGTTCAGTCTACAACCAACTTGAACATACCTGAATCGATCAAGATGTTCCACGTTTAAATTTCTCACATCTGCAAGAGTAAACTTAAAAAAAGAAAAATAACTTTTTAAAATTAATATTTCCCGATTATATTTAACTTTTACAAAAAAAAAAAAAAAAAAAAAAGCGCATTAGAAACGGATTCCAGTCACTTCCAAAATAATTATGTCATAATCTACAGCAAATGCACTATAAAGTCAACTTTTCCAGCAATTATATTGTCCCCAAAAAGTATAACCCATCTTAGAAAATAAGCATATAAGCATATAAGTAAAACCCTTCAAACTAAAGAGTAAATGCAAATTCGTAGAAAGGAACATAGTTCAACTGACAAACGTGTGTACTCTCGACCAAATAAATTTGAAGTTAGAACCAAAAGGGAAAAAAAAAATAGTAAAAGCAAGTTGCACCAAAATCCTAGCTGATTGTGATAAGATCTAAGCCAACTGTGAGGCTAAGGTGACTCAGCCCCACACACAGAAAAAATGAAGTTATCAGAATCAGAATTAAATTTCATATACAAAATACTTATTCGTTTTAATATCACATGGTTAATGCATTAACTAACGAGATGAATTTATAAGAAGCAAGTACCTCTTTGTTCTGTTGTTTCTGCAGGCGAGGGTACCATTTTTCTCTTTCTTTTTGTCACTGTCAGTCGGCCACCACAGCCCTCATCGCTACGCAATATCTGAGACATAGAAGGAAGTTGTTCACAGCAATTAACTTCAGAATTTATGGGTCCTCTTTTGTTCTGTTGAAAATCAAGCAACAATTTGAAACTCTCACATTTCAATTCCAGAAATTTACTCTTACCCGTTTAGGGTAAATGTGTAGCCATCACTGGTAGCTCAAAGTGCATTCTAGAGACGAAGTTTGATTCCAATACACCATCACTGCAGGTCGTTTTCAACCATGGAATCCTATGACATATTAAACCTAATCTTTTGTGAACTGTCGGTTATACCATCCCAATTCAAATTCGTCGTTATTAGCCTCAGAGATTTGTGTCCCTTTACTGTAAGTTACTGAATTTAGAATTGAACATAAAAACAATATCTTCTTTCACCAACTCCTTACAATTTTCTGAGGTGGTTGGTAAGGTAGAATTTTCCAGTCTAAAAGTGGAAGCAAAACCTTGAGTTTATAAGGTAAACATCTGTATTCAGATCAATTTTTTAGGAAGAATCTTAAAGTAATATCCATTCTCGCTAAGTTTTTGCTCAAGAAGCACTTTTAAGTTTTGACACACCACGAGAATAATATACACGTTACTTCCTTAAAACTCATGTCAAGCAAGTTCAAAGAAAATTTCAAATGGACAATATCAAATGAACGTGAAAAAAAAAAAAAAAAAATCATTATTCTAGCTCTATAGTGTTAGGTGTTGAGAGTTGTCCATTTGGCTATGGTACGTGTGGACAATAGAACTTTACCTCTGTCATGCAATAAGCGTAAAAAGGCAAAAAAGAAGGGATGAGAAACGTCGGGACATTTTTGCAGTTGAGATGCATAATTGATCTCAAGGAATATTTATAGCATGGGAAAAAATGTTCCAAGTACGGTACCACTATTAATACTTTTTCCAAGTTTCAAAGCTTGTAGGGCCTCTTTTAAAGCGCCGAAGATCTACTCAAAGTTACCAAATAATATGAGTGTGATGATTTAGTCTTTGCAAAACTTTATCATGTGAATTAACACATCAGATTCTGAATTTCGAATGGGGTCACAGGTCATATCTGTCTGTATTTCCTTGTATAAAATGACAGCCATTCACGCGCCTCATAGACGTTTCCACTAATCATTAACTCCGAGAAAGAGCTAACCAAGTAGAGCAAGGGATAAGCACAGCCAAAATATAGGTACCCCAAATGCAGCTCTCTTATGGAGGAGCCTTTCATCTCTCTCCTTCATTTCCTGTCTATAAGGCCAACTTGAAGACTCGCTCAGTAACCCAAAAAGGCTAAAGAAGCAAAGCCTTCACTAAGATGGGTGCATGCTCAAGCAAAGATGGGAGTGAGATCTGTGATGATGATGTTAGAGGATTGAAAGAAAAGGTAAGGTTACTTAGAGAAGAAGTGAGGGGTGTAATGTCTGAGATGGATAAGGTGACTAAAGCTCATGAGAAAGACAAGATGGTTTTTGCATTTAAGGAGGCAGGTTGGAAATCTGAGAAAAAGAGACTCAAAGAGGAGGTGAAGATGTTGAGGAAGAGGGTAAATGAGAGGATTACAGAGATTGAAGAGAGAAATTTTGGAGATAAGACTGCAACAGAGCGAAAGATGGAGGGAACTCCAAATATCATCTTTGGGCAGATACAACAAGAAAGAGCACACAGAGATGAAGCCATTGAGAAGTGGAAGCAGCTTTACCACGCTATCAAGATTGAGCTTGATGACCTAATTCAGAGGACACATAATGGTATGTCTATGAACTTATCTTTTCTTCTAGTCATCACAGAAAATCTAATTTTCGATTTTCTTTCAATTTACTACTTTAAGCTCGAGATTAGTGTTAGGAATCACGACTCTTCACAATAGTATTATATTGTCCACTTTGAGCATAAGCTTCATGGTTTTGTTTTTGGGCTTCCCCATTACCAATGGAGATGTATTTCTTACTTATAAACCCATGATCATTCTCTAAATTAGCCCGTGTGGGACTCCCTCCCAACAATGCTCAACAATTAGATCAGTGAAGGCTAGCAAAACTAAGACGGCAAAAGTTCAATAAATGCACCTTAGATTTCCCATCACTAACAGACACTCATCGGTTACTTTGATAGGAGATGGATTATACTGGGGAGCAACTGAGAGGACAGACGCACTACGAACAGAATTACAAGCAAAGGAGGAGACAATAAAAGCCCTCAAAGAACGATTAGTTTCAATGGAGCAAGAAAAATATAAGAGGAACAGAGATATTGACATACTGAGGCAAAGCTTGAGAATTATGACCAGTAAGAAGGAACAGCAGCTAGGAACTTTCCATAAATGCGTCTGTAAGTAACCTGCCAATGAATTGGGCAAGAAAACAAAATTTTCAATACCATATTAGAATGATGAACAAATAATGAAATGCCGATTGAATGTGTTTTGTAAAGATTGTTACCTCTGCACCCCCACCCTTCATTTCAACCCAATGGTCATTCTCATCATCATTTTGTTGACATGGTCCAAAGGTAAACACATTTTTGTTCCTTAGACTGGGATTTTAGGAAGAGTTGCAAAAGATGAAAAGAAAATAAAAGATTAATCCTCTCTCAGTTGACAGGAAGATAACTGGGCTGATTCATAGATAAGGCTACAATTCAACTTCGATAGACAATCACACAGTTGATCGATTTCTTGGGATTTAAATTTAAAATATAATTATTGCACTATTGTTCAAGTTATAGTTATCACAAATCAATCACACAGGAAAATATAGCTTGTAAAACAATAATGTCCAAGTTCTTATATGTGAATCTAGCATTGTGGGGATCTAGCTCGTTCAATAACATCCCCGATTCAAATTTTGTTAAATCAACAATGAACCAAAAGCTTAAATTCATGAGTTATGTTCATTTCTAGTAAGATTAATACTTCAACAAATTTTGTGCCCAGCCTTGCAAACTTGCGAATCAAATTGTTTTCTTAAACTGAATCAATAGGAGAAATGCTTCAACTCATGGTAATAGCCAATTCTACAAGGAATTATTTATTTGAACTCAATCATATGCATAATGGCTGTGAAACATGAATACTGAAACCTATCAGTAAATCGAATTGTAATAGCCATTGTGGACCATTAACCTAAACCAAAACATACCTTCATTGAACTTCTTGATTGAAAGGAACTGCCAAAGAAATGTCCGAAGTAAAATGGAAGAACCAAGCCAAGCTCTACGCAATCCAAAGGATCCATAAAACGTATTTTGTCCATTATCGTAGCAATGACGGAGACGAAACGCACTGAAATCGCTCCAGTCGACGCCTTAAAGAAGAAAGATCATTGAGCCTTCGCGCCATAAAACGTTCGTGCGTTTCTTCAATGCATCGGGGCTACCTTTTCTTTTTAAATTAAAAAAAGAATATTATATATACAATTAGTAAAAAATTTAATTAAAAAAGTTAATATAATAAATCAAACTTACATTTATATATATATGCTAATGTTTACACATCAATATAAAATTTAATTATAAGATAGTATTACATAGCATTTCCAAAAAATTCCCAATCATATGGATTGATAATCGACGGTTGAAATTGATCCGACAAATTTTGGTTGATAATTGGATATGGCCTGGGTCCAGTCTGTAGCCACTTTTGGGCTGTGGACCTTTTGAGATGACATGTCCAGTGGCACAGACATACAGTTGAAAGTTGCACGGTTGCCGGTTGGGCTGGGCGCCAATTAATTAGAAGCTTGGGAATTGGGCCCATCCGAAGACCAGCCACCGCTTAAATTGATATAAATAGTATTTATTTGGTCAAATTATAATTTTAAATTAAAATTTATATTTAATAAACCAGCAAAATTTATAAAAAAAAATGAAATATTTAAGAGAGTTAAATCCAGGATCATTCCCTAAACTAACTAATTAACTGATGTGATACTTTCATCATCCTGTTAGACGAACACGACTCTCCACAATGGTATGATATTGTCCACTTTGAGCATAAGCTCTCATGGCTTTGCTTTGCGCTTCCCAAAAGGCCTCATACCAATGGAGAGTGTATTCTTAGATTATAAACCCATACCAATGGAGAGCTTCCCAAAAGGCCTCATACCAATGGAGAGTGTATTCTTAGATTATAAACCCATGCCTCATACCAATGGAGAGTGTATTCTTGGCTTTGCTTTGGGCTTCCCAAAAGGCCTCATACCAATGGAGAGTGTATTCTTAGATTATAAACTCATGCCTCATACCAATGGAGAGTGTATTCTTAGATTATAAACCTATGATCATTCCCTAAATTAACCGATGTGGAACTTTCATCATCCAACACCTCCCCTCGAACAAAGCACGCCTCCCCTTAATCGAGGCTCGACTCCTTTGGAGTCTTAGTCATTTTTGACTGCCTTCGTACCTTCGAGGAGGCTTGACTCCTTTTGGAGTCCTTTGTTCGACATTTAAGGATTTGCCTATCTATTGACACGGCTAAGTTTAGGGCATGGCTCTGATACCATGTTAGACGAACACGACTCTCCACAATGGTATGATATTGTCCACTTTGAGCATCAGCTCTCATGGCTTTGCTTTGGGCTTCCCAAAAGGCCAATGGAGAGTGTATTCTTAGATTATAAACCCATGACCATTCCTTAAATTAACCTGTAACTTTCATCATCCAACACATCCAACCATTAAAAAAAACAAAAATTTATATTTTTCCTTATTTTTGTTTTCAATTTTACATTCGAAAACCCAAAACCCCTTGTTCTTCAACCTCTGATGCCTTCTCAGCCGCAACAGCGTCAGATGTCATGAGCTGATCTGAGACAATCTTTCTATAAATAAATTGTAGGTTTCCTCACGATCCAGCATGCTAACACGGACGTATTTGGGGCTAACACCGAAATGCTTTCCGCCTCGTACGAGTATCTTGTGGCCTCGGAAGAAGCTCTCGCAATCATCAACGTCGTCTCCATCACATCTCAACCATGAAAAGGCTGCACACAAAGAAACATAGAGTCAATTGATTGCACGAGTTTAAGGGGAAAAAAAAAAACATGTTTCCAATTGTTCTTGCCAGGTTGGGTCCCCAAGTTGTTGTCAAAGAAGCTGCAATGTGCGGGAGAAAATTTTGGCAAACTAAATAAGCCGCTGTCTTTCACCGCCTCCCTTAGCAACCTCCATCTCTCAGTCATTAGGGCGTGGCTGAAATGGAAGAACGATTCCGGATACTCCGAACCACCGGCTTGTTCACTACTGTCGGATACCACTTCCAGAACTTTGGCAGCTCGAAGCTGCGAGTCTTTTGACACGCCAATCGTGTTCAGCTCTATGAATTTGACCATTCTCTTTGCAACTTCAACGTCCTTCACTAGAGCCCACCTGAAATTTGGAAGAAAAATGGCGTTGGAATTTGGAGACAATTTCAAATTTCTCATAGCTTAGCTAGCTAACTGACCCAATGCGCGTCCCAGCATGGCCAGTACTCTTTGACACAGTGAACATCGTCAAGTCATAGTCAGAAGGCGCAGAAATGGGCGTATATTGCGGCCAGTAATAAGCAAGGTCGTGGATCAATATACCGCCCGTTCTGTTCACCACGGAGTGTCGAATGAAGCCATCGGGGTTGTTGGGGGAGGTGACCAATTCGATGTAAGGCTCATCCTTGTCAAATTGCTTCGCATCGCCAGCCCATTTGTGGAGCCCCGACTTGACGCAGTCGGTCATCAAAGGGTAAGACTGCAATTCATGTGATTAGGTTCAGTCAATAATTTCTTTTTCTTTTTTTTCTTTAAAGAAGATATCAGACTGTGCATGTGAAGCAACTATTCAGAATAAAGTATTGAGTCGAATCATGACTCACCGAGTAGTATGGGGCAGTCGAGACCACGCTGATTGGGTTGGACGAGTCCTGCGGGGAAAGGGCATAGAGGGCAGCTAAGAAGAGCTGGGAGGACCCCGTCCCGACAACAATGTGCCGCCCCTCGGTCACAGCGTTACCAGCAACCTTGTGTAGCCTCACAATTTGGGTCGCAAGCTCAGGCTCCAAGAACCAACAAAGGTTCTTCCCAGCAGAAAAATAGCTCATTGATTGCCATCCAGGGATCACAATCGTAGTCTTGTCCCCCATTGCCTTCCAATATTGCTCATACATTGTCGGGTCACCACTACATTTAAATCATATCATAAATCAATATCAAACTTCAAAACTTATAACACAAAATGAAAACAACAATTACACATTAAGATTCCATGTCTCGTCGGAGAATAAAATTTAGTGTGAAAATCCCCTACCAAATTCATTCATAAAAAATTTGAACAAAAAAAAGTTCTAGAGATTGAATTTAATATTATTAAATTTAAGAGAATTATTGAAAGTTAAACAAATTAAAAGGTTTTATTCTTCTATAATTTAAGATTATTTCTTTAATGAATGGAGCTGGTGTTGGTGTTGCATGCAAGGTGGAATAAGCCACGTGGTTCCCACAAAAACGAGAATCTTCGTATTCTTATTCTTCTTGTCCTTAAAAAAAAATAAAATAAAATAAAAGAGTTCTTCCGGTCCAAAAACAAACACCATGATGACAATTTTTTGGGTCAACTTCAAATCACAGCCGTCCATGGTGCATTTTCGAATTTAATCAAACAATTATAACAATAATAATATATTTTTCATAAATTTAAAAAAAAAAAATTATAGTGAAGAAAAGAACAAAAGCAAGAGTAGTTTCCATTCCACTGTTTCTACCTTTCTAGTTCTACCCTCGAAAGCCTCAACCCAAAACAAAAGAGCCCAGAGCTGTCTCTGTCTATGTTTGCAGCCAAAACAGCAACAAGACGGCATGGATCTTCGATCCAAAAGCGCTTTCTAGACCACCAAGGACTTGAACCTAGCGTTCCAGTTTTTTTTTTCTTTTTACTCTTTTTAAAATTTATATATATTCCTCCATAATATCACTGACATCCCACACCTAAAAAGCTGGAAAAAAAACAGCTACTTATACCTGGAAATTACCCTCTTACCCTTCCCCCCATCGAAGAACAAAAAGTTTAATTTTGTTCAAGGAAGAAGAAATCAACAAACACGCAAAGAAGAAATCAAAAAACTCACTGGTCGAGATTAATAACTCTTTGTCCTCCATGTTCATCAACAGAAGGATTAGTTTCGTGAGCTGCAGCTGATTCAGATGGGAAAGACAAGAATCTTAATTGGGAAGCTTTAGTGCCTTTGTGGACCGCCATTGGAGCTCCACTTTGGTGCTTCTCATTCTGGTTTATATCTCTTAGAATCAAACTCACATTCAGAGCTAGAGACAGCACGAGCAAATGCCTCAAAGAAACGACATGCGCTATTCCGGCCATTGCTACACGAAAAACAGAGCACGACAGGGAAGAAAAAACAGAGTGTTAGAGAAGAAGAAACAGATGAGGGAAGAAGAAGGGTATTGTTATTAGCGTGTTTGATTGCTGCGAATGGGGAGTAAGGAATGAAAATATGAGGTATAAATAGGAAGCTGAGAAGATTGAGATGACTTCAAACAAAAG